CATTTAGTGTAAATGTTGGGCCCATTAAGAGCCCATGGTGATGGACTCAGGGTTCACTATCTCCTACAATGAATTCGGCCAGGCCTTGTAACAAAGGCTGGGCTGAACCCATGTGGCTGATGTGTAGATCAATGTTTGGGTCCCACGCCATACAAGGAGAGTCAACTGGGCAACAGGTTAAGTGAGCACATAAACTTAATAGGCCTAAAGCCCAATTCGAACTAGGTTAATTAGATTAATTAAATAGGGGCAAATTTGGGTTTCGATCAACAGATAAGGATAAGAAGATAAGTCTTATCCACTTAAAGAGTCCAGATCCAAATAAAGGTTTGGATCAGGAAACTCCTAATTTGATTAGGATTAAGCTGATCTTAAACTACAGATAAGATAAGGGATTAACCTTATCACTTAAAGAGTCCAAATCCAAATAAAGATTTGGATCAGGAAACTCCTAATCAGATTAGGAGGTTGTCTCTTTAAGGCTATAAATAAGAGAAAAGGGTAGACATGCAAAAGACACCAGACAAGACACAAAAAAGTGCAGAGTTCTTCCCTGTTCTTGTCGCCCCTACCCAGTTCGATCTCCACCTGCGGGAGTGATCAAGAATTGTTCTTGATATTGCTTCTTGGCAGAAGAAGCAATCTGAAGTCATGCTCACCAACCCTCTACCCCATTCTTGCTGAAGAATTTGGTTCTTGCTGAAGAATCGTCCTGTTGATTCTACTTCACCTCACACTGTATCATCTTCAATGGGAGCAATTTTTTGTTTTCTCCTTGGGCATGAACACCTTCATTGTGATTTACTGCTACTGCTACTCCGTATCAGGTATATCCCTCTCCTCCCTTTTGGTTTCAGATTTGGTTTGGTTTGGTTCAAGATTGATCCTTGAAAATGCAGTTTTTTAAAATAGGGAATGTGATTCCCGGATGGAAGAGAGAGAAATATTTGAAATTTCGCCCTTCCTCTAGCACAGATTAATACCACTCTTGGACCTCGCAACCTCTATCCCTAGGAAGTATCTTAATTTTCCAAGATCCTTTGTCTGGAAGTGATCATGCAAGTAAGTCTTCAACCTGTCAATCCCTAGTCTATCATTGTCTGTGATAACAATGTCATCTACATATACCACCAAGAGAATCTTCCCAACATTTGATTCATAGCTGAATACGGAATGGTCAACCTGACACTGTTTCATTCCAAATTTCTTCAACACTACACTAAATCTCCCAAACCATGCACGGGGAGATTTTTAAGTCCATAAATAGCCTTCTTGAGTCTACATACCTTCTCGCCCTCCCCCTGAGCAACAAACCCTGGTGGTTGCTCCATGTACACCTCCTCAAGAAGATCACCATGTAAAAAAAGCATTCTTGATGTCAAGCTGAAACAAGGGCCAATCAAACATGCAGCAAGAGAAATTAGAACATGAACTGACCCAATTTTGGCAACCGGAGAGAAGGTATCTGTGTAATCAATACCATACTGCTGTGAATAACCTTTGGCAACTAACTGAGCTCTCAACCATTCAACACTCCCATCAGGTAAGTATTTAACCGTGTACACCCACTTACAGCCGACAACATGCTTACCAGGCGGAAGAGTGGTGAGGTCCCACGTATGAGTACAAGTCAGTGCCGAGAGTTCTTCTTCTATTGCTTGGCGCCACCCTGGAGAAGTGAGGGCTTCTTGGACATCCTTGGGAATAGAGACAGAAGATAACATAGAAACAAACTATTGATGGGAAGCCGAAAGGTGAGATACAAAAACATAATTGGAAATGGGCAATAGGAAGATCAAGGTCAGAACTTGGGGTTGGGGCTGGGGTGGGAACAACTGCCGGATCTGTCGACAGTGACGAAGCTGGGGGAGGAGACAGTGCCTGACGATGTGTATACACTTGCCGGATAGGTGGTCCTCTCTCAAGTAGCTGCACTGGAGGCAAAGACTGGACCACAACTGGAACAAGAGGAACGGGATCCTCAACATGAATTGGAAGAGGGGGTGATGGCAACGGAGGAGAAGAAGTATCCAACCCGAAGAAGAAAGGAATAGACTCAAAAAATGTAACACCAGAACACCGAGAACGAGGATTATAACATTTATACCCTTTTTTAGTCCTAGAAT